TGCCATCACTGTCATGGGCATGTCAACATTATTGACTCTTATTCTTACACAAAATATCATTATTCAACTGCTCCTGAGGGTCTGTCTTTACTAGGGGAGAGAAAGGGAAATCCACAGAGGCAGGTGGAGCTCATCCTGTCTGTGGGAAATTTGGCCTCTGCCTCTGACTGGAGATATGATCTGCAGCCATCAGACCAAGAGCAAAGAAGGAAGAAGGGACCCGGGGAAAGATCAAAGAAGCCAACACACACACCTTCACATCGGGGCCGGGGCCGGCTCCACGTTCCCTCAGCAGTACAACTAACAGAGGCATTCCCAACAAGGGAGTAGCCGTCCCTGCAGCTGTACTGCACAGCCGAGCCTGGAAGGTGGGTGTCCGAGGGCTGGCCGCTGTGCTTCCCGTTGGCGATGCCTGGAGGCTGAGGACACTTCACCTCTGGGAAGGAAAAGGAAAGGCAGATAAGAAATATGGACAAGGCAAGAACAAAAAAATTTAAAAATCCAACCTTCAAAAACCAAAGGGGGAAGACAATTAATTCCATTAACTCCTTTGATTAAATATCTGTCGTGTTTGCTGTCTTCTTATCAGTGGGTGCAGCCCCCACTGCAGCCACGGTCATTCCTATCACCACTCACAACCAGCTCTCGCTGGTGGGGACGGACACCCGCACACCGCAGAGCCCTACCTCCGCACTGCGGTGGCGGCCCGCTCCACACGCCGTGCTCCCCGTCCACCGTGGTGCAGAAGATGGAGGGCTCTCCAGCCAGCGGGTGGCCGGGCTCACAGGTGTAGGTGACCACGTCCGCGTAGGAGAAGGTGGCCGTCAAGTGCCCGCTGTGTCTCCCATGGGGGATGTCTGGAGGCGGATTGCAGACGATACCTGTGGGCACATACAGGGTGGCTTTTAGCATGAGTGCTGCGTCAATGCCCAGGGTCTGCAGGACACACGTGCTTCCCGGGAAGGGAACGCATCTCGGCAGTGATGCTTTCTGGGTACAATGACCCAAATTATCCTGAGACAAACCTTGTATGGGAAGAACCACATGTGGAAAGGAAAACCTTCCTTGCTGCCCATGTCTGAAGGCTGTGGGACAATTCTTACCTCCCTTTCCATAACTATTGGTGACACATGCAGAGAGAGACTGGCCACACCATTCCTACACATGGCCAGTGAGAAATGCTTAACCCAGTAACAGGGTGTTTAAAATATTAACAGTTTTCCCAGTTTGGACCAGAATAAATTAAAGACCTTTGGAAACATTTTCAGAAACGTGCAAAACAAAAGGAAGAAATGAAAGATTTTACACATACAGTGACTTGAGAAATCTTTTGCAATAAAATCTTTGTCTTGAAAGATGTACCATTTTCTCTTGCAAGCCATCTCCAAGGGCCTTTTGTTGTGGCCTACTTACCCTGGCAGACGGGAGCATCTCCACTCCAAGAGACACGTGTGCCAGAGACCTCGCATATTCTCTGAGACCCTCCAACCAACTTGTACCTGGAGTCACACAGAAGGATTTATTAATTTACATTAAGAGACTTGAGATTTCTTTACAACCCTTGTAAGTGGCAGCCAAGACTTCTGACTTGGGAACTAGGTTGCTTCATGTAAAGCTGAAAATCTGCTTCACTCTCACTTGGCAGCTGAATTCAGCTAGTCGTGAGACTCACCCTTTGTCACAAGTGTAATTCACTTTGGACTCGAAGAGGAGGTCCGTCAGGACAATAGCTCTGCCATTCTTTGGATCTCCTGGGTTAGCACACTGTTTCCCTGGAAGGGAACATCAGCCACCATTAGCCCTCAGCTGCTCATTCACATCCCACCCAGGGATGCTAACACAAAGACCAAACTTCCTAAAGAAACCCGTAAAACCAGAAAAATGTGAAATTCCAGTCAAGCCCAGCACTTTAGGTTTTTCAGCACTGTCAGGACATACTTTTACAGAACTCCAGCGCCGCAGACCACGTCCGATTGCCAAGGCACGTGATGGTTGGTGGCATCCCCAGGTGCTGGGCGTACCCAGGCCGGCACACATATTCCACTGTCCTCCCCACGGGAAAGACGGTCTGGTTGCTGTACGGCTCCTTCAGCTCAGCAAACGCCAGGCTGGTAGGTGCATCGCAGCCAGCTACCAAGAAAGATAAGCCAGCCCAGTTGTCAAAGGAGTCAAGAAAAAGGAGATTTGGGAGAGCAGGGGGAAGGTTAACATTCGGAGTTGGAACACTTGCCCTGCTCGCAGACTGGCACGGGTGGCTCCCAGGTGTTGTTTAGTTGGCATTGTACCACTCTCTGGCCACGGATGACGTAGCCTGGCTCACACTCAAAGGCAACAGTGTCCTTGTGTGTGTAGGCAGTCCTAGGAGGAGACACCATTCTCCCATTCCGGACCTGTGGGACAGGACATCTTGCCTCTGGAAAAGAAATGCAAGTCCTCAAAACAGGCACTTATGCAGTGTGCAGAGCTGCGCAGCTGCAAAGCCACTTGGGCGTGCAATCCCTTTTAAGACACAAAGCTGAAAATAATTTTCCTATAGAAAATTATTCCCTGAACCCAGCAATGTCAAGCATTGAGGGAGAGATCCAAACCGAAAGGTGCTGGAGGCAGCAGGGTGGTCCTGCAGCCTCCTCCCCTCTGCCTGGCCACAGCTGCAAATCAGCCCTTGCAAATCCTGCCCCAGCAGGCACTCGGGCAAGAAGGACAATTTTCTGGAGGTTTTCCAGTCTTTCCAAATATGAACCAATAGGGCCGGGATCATAGCAAGTATTTGCACGTGCACACACAACCCTACCTCCGCAGTGTGGGAGGGGGCTGCTCCACACGCCATTTTTCCCATCCTGGGTGGTGCAGTAGATGGAGGGCTCTCCGTGGAGCGGGTACCCAGGGTTGCAGGTGTAAGTTACAGATATGCCAAAGTGATATTCATCCAGCAGCCTGCCGTTGTGCTTCCCATTGGGAATATCTGGAGGCGGCTCACAAGGGATACCTGCAGAGTTGCAGAGTGAGGCTTCTAGATTCAACAACAGCACCAAAGCACTTTAAATCCCTCAGTCTGTGGGGCAATCATACTTGTCCGAGAGACGGAGTAACTGCAATGAAGTGACCTAGCTGAGGCCTTGTAGGCAACTGGATCCCCTCTCACTGGCCAGCTATTTTTATGTCAGTTAGAAAGCAGACTAGTAAGAGAAACCTTTATGGAGGAAAAACCTACCTGCTCTATCTTTTCTACTGTTTGAGAAATAAAAAAGCAAGTATTTATTTTGTATCACCTGTGTAAAATACTGCTTTTTCAGCTGCACACAGTGCAAAGGCATGCCCAGGCAGAATTTTGTATGTCATCTTAGGTTAATATGTACCTGCAGAATCTGTGAAATGCTTTGAAATCCCAGAATATACCAGTAAAAGTTTCTTACTTATATGAAACTGTCACCTAGTCAGCACCAGCACTTAATCAGCAGAGAAACACCCAGGTGTAATTGCTGAGGTGCGGCACGGCAGCTCTTTGGGTACACATCAGGTATCCATGCTTGTAGTGAAAGAGAGAGCCCGAGGTTTGGGACTTTGGGATTCCACTTCTGGCCCTCCCACGGTGCTCTGCCTCTCCTCAGGGTTGTGCCTTGGTCTCTCTGTGTCTAACGTTAGCAACCCTTCAGCTGAAGATGATTTTCCTTCCATTCTTACAATGGGGTTGTGATGTTAGCCAGAGACAGGATACCTAAGTACTGCTGAAAAAGCTCCAGCTGAGACATTGCTGTCTAGAATCCATTAAGCTTTGAGATCTTGTACCTTTTCCCAGAACATTTTCTTATGACATCCAAACCTTCTGATATTTTTCATGCCCACAGAGCAGAGAAATTCCCCATGAAAGATTTGATTGGAAAGATTTGGCAGTCTCCACTGGAAAATATTTACCAGGTCCATGCAAACCCCCCAGAGCTGTAAGCCACTTACGCTGACAAGTGGGAATGTCGCCACTCCATGCAACACGTCCACCAAAAATCTCACATCGCCTGCTGGGTTGTCCAATTAACCTGTGCCTGGTGTTAAAAGGATTGAACATTCATTCCAAGTTAGTTTGGTGTGAGTTACTACCTCCTCCTCCCCACCCCGGGGCTGTGACCAGCCCTGCTGACAGCAAAGCTGTGGTCCCGAAGAAGTTCCCTTCCTTGCTCAGCACCACCTTACCAATTTCACATGTATATACATGTATACGTAAGATAGGGAACACCTTATGTGTTCATATAGATCCAGAACTCTATAGAGTGGCTTCTGTACACAATCCATTTATTGGGAATGAATGAATAGGAGGAAAAAGGGAGGCTTACCTAATACAGCTCTCCTTGCTGTTTTAAGCAGTAGCCAAACCCAGGACTTACCCTTCTTCACAGCTGTAGAGCACCGTTGACCCAAACATGAGATCCGTTAGGGAAACAATTTTCCCGTTCATAGGTTCACCAGGATGATTGCATTGTTTCCCTGGGGGAGAAAAAACCCTCATTTTAGGCTTCTCTCTGTCTACACCACGGTACAACAGATGCAACTATTACTCCAGTAATCTGTCCACATTTCCAGTTACCCCCAAAACGGGTTTCGAATAGCATGAAGTTACATGGCTTTACTAGTCACATACTATTTGAACACCAGAATAACATTAAGGTTTTTGCAGCATGGACAGAACCTAGCACCTATTCCTTCTTGAACAACGGACACCAAATCAAGGAGCTATTCACTTTTACAGAACTCTAGTGCTTCTGACCACACTCCGCTCTCAAGGCATGTAATAGTAGGTGACATTCCTGGGTGTTTAGCATATCCAGGTCGGCAAGTGTATTGCACAGTCTTCCCAACAGAAAAATCGATCTCATTTTTATGCTCCTCATTTAGCTCAGCAAAGTGTAACCTTGGAGGAGCACCACAACCACCTATTGAGAAAGAAAACAGACATGAGAATCAGGCAGGACGCATGCCGGGTGCAAGCAGAAAGACACTGTTACAAGGAAAGGTGTTTGGTTTGCCTTGCAAAAATGTTTATTTGGATTAATATAGCCATTTTTAAACCCAGTATATTTTCCCAAAATATTCCAGAGAATCAGGTTCTTTTTACCAGGACTTAAATCTTCCATGCACAGGGTTTAAGCACATTTTTTTATCAGGGTTAGGGGACATACAATAGTAGTGTACCCGAAGGCAGCTATGTCACGATTTACCTTGAAATTCCGGCCTGTTAGACAGCTCCTGGTAATGGTACAGTCTATTGCAGATGGGAACAGGAGGAAGCCAGCTGCCATCCTCCTGGCAGAAGACTTTCGCACTGCCTTGCAGGCTGAAGCCATTGTCACACTGAAATGTCACCGCTTGCCCAGGTGTGGAGATAAGTCCTTGACCATCAACTTGCCTTCCATTCTCTACAGCTGGATTTATGCAGACAGACACTGGAAATGATGACGTGCCAAAGTGATGTACAAGAGGAGTTGGAACAAAACAAAAAAACCAAAACCAAAAACCAAGCTGTTAATATTGCAACAACAAAACCTACATAAACCTCCCCAGTCCCAGCTTCACAACGGAAGGGCTTGAAATTAATTTATACCATGCAACACTTTACATGGAATTAGCCTTCTCAGAGGATCTGGTTGCAATGGTCAGGGTGTCCCCTGTGCTCAGAGCCACACTATGACCTTCTCCCCCGAGGGGACAGACCATGGACGCACCTTCACAGCGAGGACCGGGCTGGCTCCAGTTCCCAGACGCTTTGCAAAACACAACGGCATTTCCAACCAGGTAGTAGCCAGGATCGCAGGTGTATGTTACAGACATTCCTGTAGTAAAAAATGCTTTGCCCTGGCCGTTATGATTTCCATTGCGGACCCTCGGAGGCATGGGACACGGTCGGACTGCAGGAGGGAAACAGCCTAACTCAGCGAGAGAACAGCGTGCAAGGGGAAGGCAGTCGGTGTGATGCTGCCTTGATGGGTTAAAGCCCATCGCAGGAACAGCTCTGCCTGCACACGCTGTTCCTGCCTGCAAGGAGCACCCGCCGCCCCTCGGGGACGCAGCGGGCGCCCGCACTCACTCCTCTCGCAGATGAGCACCGGCGGATCCCAGGTCCCACCCGGCTGGCACTGAGCCTCGTAGTTGTCCTCTGCAGCATAACCGGCGTCACAGTCAAAGTGAAGACTCTCTCCAGCTTTGTAGGTGCTCTGCAGTCCATGGACCTTCCCATTCTGCACCTTGGGTATCTCGCAGCCGATTGCTGCAGGGAACATGGACAGCATCCTTTAATGTTCAGTGCATGGGCCAGGTCCTGCACACACAACCCCTTCCCTTCTCATCACTGCCATCAGCCTGTCTGCACTGTTCCTACAACCAGGACATCCAGCATCCTTTCTGCCAGCCCCACACCCAGCAGTGAAGCATCCACCCACCTTCGCAGTGGGCC